GCATTTTACATGGCTTAAATTGGGGACAGTCTGTGCAGTTCTCGAGCGGCTGTCAGTCTTCACGTCTCACTGCTCAAGCGAGGGATGTGGGCTAGGGGAAAAGGCTGAAACCGTCACAGCAAGTGGAACTGGAAATGGGAAGCCAGACGTCACCTGGAGCAATTGCATGGAAAGGAGACAGGCGTGGGGTCCTTACGCAGGAAGGCTGTTGCCTGCTTGTGTAGGCACAAGGGGAGATGGAAGTGGCTGGGCAGGAATGTTCTCTGAGGAGGGGCACAGGCCGCTCACTGACTTGGTGCATTATCCACGGTCATGGGTAGAACTGGCAAGTTATAAATTAGTTTTGAGGACAGTCACTGCAGAGGCCTAGCGCATTTCCTTAGAGCACACCCACCTCCTCCAACCGCCACACACACCCACTGCCCAGACGGACACATCAAGACTGCAGGAAATGAGTTTTTCAGTCTACAACTCACACTTGGAACTAGGAGATGCCTCTGCTTGCTGGTGTTCTGCTCCTTTTAGCAAGAGACCAAGCCTGTTCATGGAATTGTGTAAACCTGAGGCCCCACCCTCGAGGCCTCAGTGGATAGGCAGGTAATGAAACTGAGGGAAGTGGTCACCGTGGGAAAAGGACCCAGACCAGCAAGCAGTGCCTATCCTGGCTAATGGCATGGCATGGTCTTTCTTTGTGTGAGGGTATATAAAGAAAAGGCTTCAGGTGGCTTCAAATGACAATTTTTAAATTGTATAATTCTGGAGGTCTGAAGCTTAAAATTGTTCTTCAAGACATTGTTCCTTATGGAGGCTTTTACAGAGAGTCTGTTTCTCTGCCTCTTCCATTCTAGAGGCCCCCTGAACTCCTTGGACCCAGGCGCATTCCTCCACCCATCTTCAAAGCCAGCAGTGTGGCATTTCTGTCCTCTCACTCCTGCTTCCTTCTTATAAGAACCCTGTAGTTACTGTGGGCCCACCTGGACAACCCGGGATAAGCTCCTGTCTCAAGGTCTTTAATCGTCTCTGCCAAGTCCCTTTGCCATGTAAGCAACATGCCCTGGATCAGGGCAAAGACATCTTTGGGGGGAGGCAGTATTCTGTCTACCAAAGTGTGTAGGGGAGAATACTCACAACTTGTAAATCCTAGCAAATAATTTTGAGGTTTATAGCACTGTGTATGCCAGACCAACAGGTCTTCAGGTAGAAATGAGTTGAGGGAGAGAGTGAGTCTCCTAATTTAAACAAACCCTGGCTTATTAAAAGAAAGGCGATGTGCTACACCTCCCCCTGCTTTATTCATAAATACATTTTGCTTTTCCAACTTCCTGGGGACTGAGAAGCTTACGAAGCATTTATGTTTCCAGGCCCATCACTACTTTTCCCCCTAGTTTAATAAAACAACAGCACACATTTATGAAGCTTTGTTGTATACCTAACACTGTGCTAAGCACATCATGTGCACTGTTTATTTTAATCTGCAAGCAATCTCATTTCTATCCGTTTTACAGAGGAATCTGAAGCTCAGTGTTGCCCAACGTCACACAGGTAGCAAGGAGCACAGCTGGTAGGAAAATCAGATTTTCTGCCTCCAGAGCCCTTCAAGACGCAGCTTTAAAGGGAAGAGCAAGCTGAGGCATGGAAGTGAACAGCCCCTTCAGTTAAAAAACAACTAGGAAACCAGGCTGGTCTACACAGATCTAAGTTCCAACAGGCTTGCCATTCCTGGACACTAGCCTTCTTCCTCGTGAGAGTACCAATGATCAGCCATACAGTTACCCTTCTCTCTGCAACACTGGGCTAGAACCATGACCAAATAGGTTTTTATCAACGATGTGTCTTTGGGTGGATCATTTGTCATCTCTTTGTCACTTTATCTAGAAAAGGGAAAGAGTCATTATGATGATGGACATTTACATGCTGTACACCAGCATTTTGAGTATAGTAACCCATTGAATCCTTAAATTAAATATTTGGAGTAGATACTGTTATCTCCATTTTACAGGTGAAAGACTGAGGCACATGCAGAGGTTATATAACTTGCACAGTTAGTAAATGGCTGAACTGAGCTTGAATTTGAGAGTTCTGGAGGTAACGATTCCTACTCTGCTCAACCCCCTGGGGAACGGGGAAGGCTTTGTGAATGCTCCTTCACCTGTTCATTCATTCATTCTTCATTTACTCTTACCCACCTCAGAGGGCTGCTGTGATATTAAGTGAGTTACTGTGAGGGTTCAAACCATGCATGGTGTGTGGTGGCCACTCTGAAGTGTCTGATTCTATTCTAGGGTTGTTGCCAGGAGGAAGAACCGTGCCAACTGTGTTGTGAGTCCAGTCAGGGCGGCCCCTGAGGAGGCAGCTCCATCTCGAGAGTACAACGCAGTCCCTCGGTCTAGAAAGATGGCCAGGATCTGGGCTCTGAGGAGAATCAAAGAAAAGTCAAAGACGGGAGTTGTCAGTATGCTTTGGACCTAGCATGAGGAACAGAAATGAGTCAGCAAAGGTTAAAGGAAGGATTCTAAGAGGAAGTGGCATGTCATAAAAGACAAACCCAGCAAACCCTCATTTGCTGTTTACCACGTGCTAGGTAGGCCGCCTTTGGGGTGCTTTACACGTACCAGTAACTTCACAAGGCAGGTGGCATCAGGACTGCCCCCATTTTACAGGTGAGGAAACGGAAGCATTGAGAGGTTAGGAAACTTGCTCAGGTCAGAAAGCCCATGCGCAGCACAGAGCAATCCTGAGAAATTCCAGTGGTTCATATACTCACCATCATCACAATTGTGCCAAATCTATGCACTGTTTGCATGAATATTTACTTACTATTTAATTGATTTTTGACTGAACTAAATGAAAAACAAGCTTTATAGTATAGTATATAGAAAAAACCATGAACATAAACAATATTATTAAATCTCTCTAGATTCAGTCATCTACTAAGGGTTTCTAATTCAAGTACTATTCTGTTAAAAAGGGAAACTAGCAAGTGCAGAGAGGAATTAAAGATATATTAGCATCAAACTGAGACTTCCTCACTGGTGCAATCAGAAGGACTGAAAGAGAAGTAAAAAAGGGAATAATTTTCTCACTATGTGACGGAAAGTGATTTAGGGACCCATCCATACAAGCACCCTCAAATATGTTACTTGAGGAAACAGTGGTGGTGGTCAAGAGCACAGAACCAGGGGACAGACGGCCATGCTTCACAGTTTGCAGGCCATCCAATCAGGGAAAAGAGTTTCTACAATAAATCAAAAAATCAGCCGGGCGTGGTAGTGCATGCCTGTAATTCCGGCTACTCGGAAGGCTGAGGCGGAAGGATCGCAGGAGCCCAGCAGGTGAGGCTGCGGTGGCTGGGAGCGGCCGCTGCACTCCAGTCTGGGCGACAGAGTGAGACTCCAACTCAAAAATAAATAAAAATAAAAAAATAAAAAAAATTAAAAAAAAAGAATCTCTCTAAATTTCGGTTTCTTTATCGGTAAAATTTTGATAATAAGAGCTGTTACTTCATAGGGACCTTGATGATAAATGAGAGAACGCAAGTCAAACACAAAATCTAACACACAGTGCACGCTTAAAAACATCAGCCGATATCATCATCGGGCTTCGCACAGAGGTCCCTGGGTTTTTTTAATTGTTGCTGCTGTTAGACTATGATAACAGAAAACATTATAGCGAATGCTACCATCAGCGGTTACTCAGTGGGGGCTGTGTTGCAGGTGAGACATAGTTAAACACCTATAGTAGGAACGATGATTATCTCCATTTAAATGATCCTAAGTTATTCTTGTCCCTAGGTCTCCCGAAATGAACGTTTTACCCTGGAGGACAGCAAAGTCGGCCTACCGGACGTCGCTGGGGACCTTTCCCGGCCCCTTTTCTCTCGGGAGGTCCCGAACACCCGACACCGCGGTGGGGC